GTCCGCCTGTTCGGTTCCCCACGGCACCGCACGGCCCGGCCCAATTCCTGGGAGTTTACTCCATTCCAACCGCTTCCCATTTACTAGGCGCAGAGCGCTGCCATATTGACACGGGGCAAAAAGCTCTACCCCCATTGGCCGGCGATGTCCCGTACCAATCAGAAGTAAGTTTACTGACGGTTGGGTCAGAGTCACCCAATCAGGGCCGCTCGAGTCGGGGTCTGGCGGCTGGGAGCAGCTGGCAAAGGGAGGTGGGGAGCGAGAGCCAGAGCAGCCCCGGCCCCGCCTGTCGCCACGCCCCCTCCCTAAAGTCCCGCCCACCTGCCAACCGTGGTTTTCCTCCTTTAATGTCTCGCAACTCCCTTCTCGCTGCCCCCTCTCGTGTGTGCGGGGGGGCTCTGCTGTATAGATAGTCTCCAGGGGCACTGTACAGACAGACTCGGGGGGTGAGGAGGGTGCTTTACAGATGGTCTACAGGGGACGCGTTGGTCTAGCCTACCAGGACCTTTCCCCTCCACCATTTGGAGCGGGTTAGGGTACTAACACCAGGGTTACAATACGTCCGTTTTTTCCCGGACATGTCCGGCTTTTCGGCAATCAAACCCCCGTCCGGGGGGAATTGCCAAAAAGCCGAACATGTCTGGGAAAATGCCGGCCGGGCACTTCCCCTCCCGCGGCGGCTCTGCTCCTCCCCTGACTTCGGCTCTGTTTAAGAGTCGGGCTGCCCGAGTGCTACCGGCTTCGGGCAGCCCCCATGCCTCCGGACCCTGCACTGCCGGAGCCCGGGAGGGGAAGTGCCCGGCTGGGGACGCAGGGTCCGGAGGCAAGGGGCTGCCCGAAGTCCAAGCGCTACCGGCGTTCACGGTTTGCCGGGCAGCCTCCAGACCCTGCGCCCCGGCTGGGCGCTTCCCCTCCTGGCCTCCAGCTGCGCTGGGGAAGCACCGGCCGGGGGGTGCAGGGTCTGGGGGCTGCCCAGCAAACCATGAAGCCGGTAGCGCTC